TTTCTTTGTTTTATCCACAGGGTGCTCTGTCACCCCAGGTGGGAGTGCCGGGGCATGACTCATAGCTTACTGCAGCTCGAATCCTGGTCTCAAGGGAATCTCCCTGCCTCACGCCTCTCGGAGGAAGCTGGGACTAAGGTGTGTGTCACTACAACGAGGCTAATTTCTAATTTTTGCAGGACAGGGTCTTTGTATGTTGTCCAGGCTGGTTCTTGAATCTGGGCTCAGAGCGATCCTCTGCTCAGCCTCCCAAACGTGCTGGGTTAAGGTGTGAGCCATCATGCCTAACCCCCTTTTTATAGGAAAATCAAAACAAGACATCCAATATTCTGACACATAGGAATGTTCTGTTATCTTTTAGGGTTTACACCCTTTCCCTTTGCCAAAATGATAATCTCGAGTCATTAAAGTCATTCAACAAACTTTTATTGTCTGAGCCACACATTGTGCTCATTGTTATAGTGCCATTTGGAACGAAACCGTATATCTGCTCATAACAGATGATGAAGAGAAACCCAGGGAATGAGCCCAAACTACTTTTCTTCTATCAGGATGGTTCCCCAAATTAGTACATGACCACTCTACGTTTGCACGTGGTTTTGGGTTCTACACAGACAACCATTTTCATTTAATGGTTCTACATTCTTATCACGTGCGTATTAGAAACATAAATAGATATGGCCAAGACACGAAATCTGGTGTGTAATTGAAGATGCTAAGAGCATTGCTGTGCTCAGTCTGAACATTGAACACGGTTCAGAACCACCATCTCCCTTCGTGATGACATTTCTCTTTACTATAAAGCCTGTGTTTCCCTAGGAAGTCCTCAGGGTAAGACTTGTCTCCAGTGGGTTTATGCCACCATGTCCTGCCGACCCGGTTCCTATGGCTACTGTAACAACTTGACCACAATGGTTGGTCTGAGACAATAAAATTTGTTGAATGGGACTTCAATGACCTCTTGAGGAGAATATAATTTTGCAAAAGGAAACCAAGCCTTGCACCTAGCTGTTATTCCCTGTGCCTGATTTGTACATAAACTGGTGCCTAAGAGAAGGCCACTGAAGGTTCTTAGAAGCAACCCACTCTCCAGATTGTCAGGCCTCATTCATGACCTTGCTGTCTTTGACTTATTTACGTAATAGCTATGTGAGCATCAAATGCTTGTACTTCCTACGTTTGGAGCTTTTCCTGAGATGCCTAGATATTTTCTTATCATGTTTTAATTATATAACCCGGAGCAAATTTGAGCATTGTTGACTTTCTTAGATGGTTAGGGAATCCGAGGCCTGAATCAAAGCCCCTCAAGGTTCTTTTCTGCAAGGGAAAGCCAATTCTTTCTGCTTTACTTATGGTCAGGTGTCCAAGGTGCTCCGGGCATCACTGCCCCGAATCGAGTGCCGTGGGAACCATTCGCTCTTCAGCCATTGGCTTTGCAAGGCAGGTGCAATCAGACTATGTGCGCGTATGGAAATAGGTCGTCCATGGCAGTGCTACTTTGGGAAGAACTCAGCCACTCCACAGTCGCAGGTGGGCTGCTTCATCCTGCCTAACGCCGTAGGCTCATTGCTTCATGGCTGCAGCTGCCAGTCAACGCTGCTTATTAGCCTTGACCGAGGCCATGCTTTGCAAACAGTTAACAGCACACCTGAACTTCATGAACGGACCGTGTCATCCGTGGCTGCTGTAACAAAAGACCCAAACCTCATCGGCTTGAAATAACCTGCACTTTTTTTTTTTTTTTAATCTTACAGTTCTGGGGATCAGAAGTCTCAGATGAGTCTAGGAACTCAAAAAAATTCAAGATTGTTTTTAGGACGAGAATCTGTTCCTGGCTTTTGTTAACTTAGAGGCTGGCCTCATTTTGCTTTCTCGAGCTGTCATGAACCCAGTGTCAATCTCCTGTGATTTCTGGACCTTCCTGCCTCACCTCTTCTCATCCTAGGACCCTTGCAACATTGGCCCCCGGGCCCCCCGGGATAATTTCCTTTCCCGTTAGCTGTGTAGGCATCTAATCATAGATTCCGGGATCTAGGCCAAGGACATTTGGTGTGTGTGTGTTTCACGATTCTGTCTGCCCCATGGGAAATAGCAGAAGCACGCTGACAGACAGAGTGCTACAGAGCCGTACGTAAAAATCTTACTGGGAACGCAAATGTCTTTCTGTCACAGTTCCCCAGAGAAAGACAAAGTCCTCCTGGGGCCTTCAACGTATACATGTCACCCTCTGACCTCATCCCCTTCTCCCTCTTGCTCTGTTGCCCCCCGGCTCCTGACACCTCTACGCCTTTTCCGGCTTTGAGCTTGCCTTCCCTCCTAGGACCACTGTCCTGAGTGTAAGTCTCAGATCTCAGTCACAAATATACTTTCTAGGGAGAGGCCTACTGCACTCACCCTAATCAGAATAGCCTCTCCCCCCGCCCGCCGCCACGTGGCCCTGGTCACTTACCTTCATCGACTCTCCTACAGGTAAATTATCTGAAATACTTGGCTGATAATTTATCATTTTTTGCCTGATCCCCAGATGGATGACGCCCCCGAGATCACCAACCGGGTGTGCTTTGCTCTGTTGCCCTCCCCCAGCTCCAGCACCCTGTCAGCTGCTTTGTTAGGTGCCCAGCACGGGTCACTTGTGTGGCCCGCAAGACTAGCCAGAGTGGAACAGACAGGCGGACGGGGGCAGGCTAGCCTGCCGGCCTGGACAGCTCTGGACAGGCTCCGGAGAAGGCGGAGAAACGAGGCGGGAAAACAGCAAAAAGCCGGGGTGGGTAGGGTGGTAGGGTGGGCGCTGGCGGGCCCTGATCAATAGCAGCGGGGCTTGGAAAAGTAGAATTCCGGCGCACGCACTAGGATACTGGAGGGGCGCAGGTATCGGTACTCGCGAGAATAAACGCAGAAGGGCTGCCAACATATCATCTCTACGCCTCATCAACAATGTATATGTAAAACCACATGTATCCGGCCCTTCTATAAGCCTAAGATGTGGTACATGTGTACAGTGCCCGTGAAGGGGCTGCGAGCAGATATAAGAGCTTTCTGGCGCGAGTCTAATAATAGCCTAGCCTGGGCTCGAGTCACCCCAAGGGTTAAGACCACCTAATGGCACAGCAACTTCGGGACCTAGGTACCTCGAGCCAGCTGCAAGTCCCCTCCTTCTGCAGAGCCACTAGTGGGAGCGACAAGGCAGGTAAGGAAGACGCAACAGCTCAGGCGGTGCTAATTGAGGCGAACTCTCCTCCGGGCCAGCAAGGCGGAGCACGAACGAAGCGGGGGCGTCCCCCACCCTTTTCTCGCTTCCCGCCACTCGCGTGCACACAATCGAAGCGCCATTAAAACGCCCGGCACAGCCCTAGCTGGCGGCTCCGCAGCCCGCACTCCAAATGCCGAGTTTTCGCGGGAAGAAATCAGAGAGTGGCAGCGCGGCGCAGCACAGCGACTGGCGCTCGGCTCGACCGCATCCGAGCGGGGTCCGGCCCGCACCGCAGCTCGCAGCCACCCCGGCCGGGCAGGCGCGCAGCAGACAGAGGCGACGTGCGGCCGGAGAGGTGAGCGGCGCCGGCCGGGGTGCAAGCGGACCGCTCCCGGGTGGACTCCGCCAAGCTGGCATGGAAGCAAGGAGAAGTATTATTTGAGGCAACATTTATTTTTCCTAGATCCAGATACAGATGGACACAGAGATCTGTGTTCTACGGCACAATAGTAAAATCTAAGTTTTAACTGTGAGTTGTTGCTAAATAGAAATAAAAAGAATACGTGGAAAGAATGCTATATATGACCTACAAAACCTAAATTATTTCTAACAGGCACCTTTCAGAAAAAGCCCACCAGCCCCTGCCCTAGAGCAAGTCTTGCGTGCAAACAAGAGGAAGGTGTCTTCAGCAGGCTCCCTTTAGCACTTGTATGATATCAGACACCCGGACCAAATCGGAGTACCCCTCCTGGGGGAGGGGACGGAGCAATTATGTGGCAGCACACTTCATTGCCATCGTCCAAACAAATGAACCCAATGGACAGGCACCAGCATGAATGCATCTCAAACCCAGAATGTTAAACAAGAACACACGCAGCTGGATGCCATTTACTTATATAAAGAGTTCAAATATGCAAAAGATACTATAGGCTAAACCAGGCATCCTCAAACTAAGGCCTGCGGGCCATATGTGGGTGTTTTTGCCCGTGTGTCTTTTTACTTCAAAATAAGATATGAACGGTAGTATACATAGGAATCCATTTATAGTTTTTTAAAATTATAGTCCGGCCCTCCAACGGTCTCAAGGACAGTGAACTGGCCCCCTGTTTATTTCTTTATTTTATTTTATTTTATTTTTTGAGACAGAGTCTCACTCTGTTGCCCAGGCTAGAGTGAGTGCCATGGCGTCAGCCTCGCCTACAGCAACCTCAAACTCCTGGGCTTGAGCGATCCTGCTGCCTCAGCCTCCCGAGTAGCTGGGACTACAGGCACGCGCCACCATGCCCGGCTAATTTTTTCTATATATATTAGTTGGCCAATTAATTTCTTTCTATTTATAGTAGAGACGGGGTCTCACTCTTGATCAGGCTGGTTTCGAACTCCTGACCTCGAGCAATCCTCCCGCCTCGGCCTTCCAGAGTGCCAGGATTACAGGTGAAAGCCATGGCACCTGGGCTGGCCCCCTGTTTAAAAAGTTTGAGGACCCCTGTGCTGAACAACATGTCTTGTTTAGGCACCTACATGAATGTAGTAAGGGAATAAATATGTATGGATGCAAGGAAATCGCGACTAGAAAATTCAGGACGCTTGCGCTTTGGGCACATGCTAAAGGCTGTCGGGGAAACCAGCAAATTTCTCCTGGACTCCAGGCTCTTGGACGCAAAGTCCCCAAGAGCCCAGCCCCCATGCAAGCACTTCTTTGTAGGGCCGTCCCAGAGTCCCGGACGCTCTGAGGGCGGAGCGCCGGGCAGGGGAGCAGGTCTCGTGGCCACAGCCCCTCACGACGGACCGTTCTCCCCTGTCCTTCTAGAACCCTCTCTGCGTGGAGGCCAAGAAGACAGTCTCCTACAACTGCTGCAGCCGGGGCACCATCCTCCTGCGCATCCAGATGGAGAGCAACGTGTTCACGCCGGGGGACAGGGTGGTGTTCACCTCGGAGATCGCCAACCAGACCGGCAAGTGCATCCGGGCGGTCATCTTCGCCCTGTACGCCCGCGTGCAGTACGAGGGCTTCACGCCCGGCGCCGAGCGGCGCCTGCGGGCCGACAGCTGCGAGCTGCTCCGGCAGGAGGCCAACACCCAGATCACCCCCTTCGACACCACCAAGATCGTCAGCTCCTTCAACCTGCCGCTGGTGCTGTCTGTGAACGACAACACGTGGGACGGCGAGATCATGCACACGCACTACGAGCTGGTGGTCACCGTGCACCTGCCCTGGTCGCTCAGCAGCATCAAGGCCATCGTCCCCATCGTCATCACCAGCGCGGCGGCGGGGTCCACTCACTCGCTGGGCGCCACGAGTGAGGCCGAGCCCGGGAGCCAGGATCCCCAGAATTAAGTGTCCAAACTTCTAAATATTAAAAGCTTTATCAGACTCTCTACGACGAGAAGCCGTCTGTGTTGCCCAGGTGACGATCGGGTGAGGCTGGGCGCGGGCGGCGTGCTGCCCGCCATGTCCCCAAGCCCTGCGGGCCAGGCGGCCGGGTCTCCCGTCCCAAGAAACACCATCAAATCCGGCCCGGGTTGGCACAGAGGCCAGGCCGAGAGCTGCGTTCATTGTTTGCAAACAACATAAAATAAAATTCAGCCAGACCCCTAGCTCGCAATGGGCACCAGAGTAAACTCCTGGGGGAGGGAGGGGGCAGATGGCACAGACCAGGGGACACCCAGCTCCCAGGACCCCCCTCCTCTCTCCCTCCCCACTCAGGAGTGGAGTTAAAGGGGACCCACCGTGGGGCGCGGGGTCTCTTGGGGGTCTGTGGAATCCCCTAATGCAGTGGCTCTCAACCAGGGCCGAGGCTGCCCTCCAGGGGACACTTGGCCATGTCTGGGGACATTTGTGATCAATACAACTCTGGGGGGAGGCCAGGGGTGCTGGGGCAGTCCATGGGGACAGGTTGCTGCGGTTGATCCTGCAGCTGCTCCACTGCGCTCAGGGTGAATGTCCCGATCCTCCCGGTGAGGGGCCTGCGCCATCTACCCATGGTCAGCCAGCCACAGGGTGCTGCCACATCTGCCCCAATCTCCCCTTGCTTTGCCTCTGCCCTGTCGGATCCGCCTTCCTCGCTGGGTTGGACCCCTGCTGTCACCTCCACCCTGATTTCCCCGCTCCTGCCTCCTTTGTTCTGGCTCTGTCCTTTCTTTTTTTTTTTTTTTTTTTTTTTTGGAGACAGAGTCTCACTCTGTTACCCAGGCAACAGTGCTGTGGTGTCAGCCTAGCTCACACAACCTCAAACTTCTGGGCTCAAGCGATCCTCCTGCCTCAGCCTCCTGAGTAGCTGGGACTACAGGCATGGGCCACCATGCCCAGCTAATTTTTTAATATATTTTTAGTTGGCCAATTAATTTCTTTCTATTTTTTTTTTTTAGTAGAGGCAGGGTGTTACTCTTGCTCAGGCTGGTCTCAAACTCCTGAGTTCAAACGATCTGCCCACCTCAGCCTTCCAGAGTGCTGGGATTACAGGCGTGAGCCCCCGCGCCTGGCGTAAATCCTGTCCCTTCTATCTCACTCTGTTGCACGGGCTAGAGTGAGTGCCGTGGCGTCAGCCTAGCTCACAGCCTCAAACTCCTGGGCTCTAGCAATCCTCCTGCCTCAGCCTCTAGAGGAGCTTTCGACTGCCAGGTGCCACCACTCTGGCTAGTTTTTTCTATTTTAGTAGAGATAGGGTCTCACTCTTGCTCAGGCTGGTCTTGAACTCCTGACCTCAAGTGATCCTCCTGCCTTGGCCTCCCAAAGTGGGAGTAGTACAGAGTAGTATAGGCATAGGCACCACACCCGGCCACCATATAGCCTTTATTTTTCTTTATTGTGGGTTTTTTTTTCAGCTTTTTTTTTTTTTCAAGAGAATTAAATTGTTATAATGGTTGATACACAAGCTTCATTCCCATCTATAATTTTTTATCTGGTACCATTATTCAGTTTAGATATATTGCATAGGATATGCCAACAATCATCTTTATAACCAGTAATTCCATGCATTCCATGTCCTTGCATGATCCCTTTTAATGGTGAACTTCAGGTCACAACAGTAACCATCAGTTCAACTACACCTGGCCTGAAGACAACGGCTTCCCCACCCAAGCAGGTTGCAAATGAATTTCAAATAGAACCTGGTATCACCCTGAAGGAATTCTATCTTCAAACTTTTTTTTTTTTTTTTTTTTTGAGACAGAGTCTCTCTTTGTGTTGCCCAGGGCGCTAGAGTGAATGCCAGTGGCGTCAGGCCTAGCATCACAGCAACCTTCACCTGTCCTGGGCTTCAGAGCGATCCTCCTGCCTCAGGCCTCCCACGAGTAGCTGGGCACTACAGCATGCACACCCATGCCCGCTAATTTTTTCTGTATATATTAGGTCTAGCCAATTCAATTTTCTTTTCTATTTATAGTAGAGACGCGGGTCTCGCCTCTTGCTCGAGGCTGCGTGTTTCGAACGTCCTACCTCCGAGCAATCTCACCGACTCGGGGCCTTCCCAGAGTGCTTAGGGATTTTACAGGCGGGCGCCACCGGCCCCGGGCCCTATCTTCAGAACTGTTCTGCGAGAAGTTTACCAAATTGGCTCAGAGTAGACTAACTTAACACAGGCCACATTAAAAAAAGAAAAAAATAAGACACATTTTAGTCAGTTCGATGATCAGGACTCTTTACGATTTAGCAATCAAACAGCCATGGGTGTAAAAAAAAAAAATCTACATTAAAACCCTTTGTTGGAATGCTTTACACTTTCCACAGAACAGAAACTAAAATAACCTGTTATAGGATTAGTCACAAATACATCCTCAAGTTTTTTGCCCATACACATGAGTATTGTTTGTTGCCCAGGGTAGCGTGAGTGCCGTTGCATCAGCCTCGCCCATAGCAACCTCAGACTCCTGGGCTCAAGCGATCCTCCTGCCTCAGCCTCCCGAGTAGCTGGGCACTACAGGCATGCGACCACCATGCCGCTATTCTTTTTCTATATATATTAGTTGGCCAATTAATTTCTTTCTGTTTTATAGTAGAGATAGGATCCGGCTCTTGCTCCGGCTAGTTTTGAACTCCTAACCTTGAGCGATCCTGCCCGCCTCAGCCTCCCAGGGTGCTAGGATTACAAGCGTGAGCCACCGCACCCGGCCTGGCCTTTATCTTTTTTTTTTATTTTTTAGTTTTTTAGACAGAGTCTCTCTCTGTTGCCAGAGCTAGAGTGGCATGGCATCAGTCTGGCTCACAGCAACCTCCAACTCCTAGGCTCAAGCAATCCTCCTGCCTCAGCCTCCCAAGTAGCTGAGACTACAGGCATGGACCATGCATGCCCGGCTAATATATATATATATATTTTTTTTAATTTTTTTAGTTGGCCAATTAATTTCTTTCTATTTTTAGTAGAGATGGGGTCTCACTCTTGCTCAGGCTGGTTTTGAACTCCTGACCTTGAGCGATCCACCCACTTCCGCCTCCCATAGTGCCAGCATTACAGGCATGCGCCTAGTTCCCCTCCTTTAGTCTTCTAAATTAAAATCTAAAAGGCTCATCTGGACCTTCCTTGACCGCAGAGACGGAATGAAAGAATGGGCCCCGAGCTGTCTTCCTGGAAGAAGAATGACTCAGAAGTACCTCTGCAGCCCCCCACGGGCTGCAAAGCGCCGGCACCTGCCCCACCCCTGCCAAGGGGTCTGGGTCTGGGGGGTGTGGGTGTCGGGCTGGAGGGGCGTGCACGCAAATGGCGCCAGCCCCTGCGGCACCGGGGCGATTCCGGAAGACACAGCCTCCCCACCCTGCAGTGGCAGCACACTCACTTAACTTTCATAGGTTTTTTTCGGGCAGGGGCCGCTCTGACCCTCCGGCGAGAGGGTGGTGCCGCCAAAAGCAGGGCGAGACCTTGAGCGCACCAGAGGTGAACCCAGTAGCTCAGGGAGCCCATCGGGGACGCCGGCCTGGCTTCCCCTTCTCTTCCACCTGTCCTCGTGGCCGGCACCCTCCTGGCGCTTTGCTCTTCCGGCAGGACGCCAGCAGGCACGACCTGGGCCCTGGTCCTGGCCCGCACCCTCCTTGCGCTTTGCTCTTCCGGTCCTGGCTCGGCCCTGGTCCTGGCCCGCCCCGGTCCTGGCCCGCCCCGGTCCTGGCCCGCCCCGGTCCTGGCCCGCACCACCGGGCTAGGCTTCAGGATCTCACAGGGTTTCCCCATCTCATATATACGTGCTCCCGGGCACCAGGGTGACCTGGCCGCGACACCCGTGAGCCCGGTGCTGGCAATGATGATTCGGCTGGTCTGCCTGGCTACGGCGGCTGTCCCCTGTCTCCCTCATCTCACGTGCGTCCTTCCCGAAGCCGCGGGCTGGGTGGCAGGGGACGACCGTCCCGGGTTGGGGAGGACCCTTTTTCCATCAAGGGTACACGAGTAGCTGTGATCCACCGCTGGAACCCCCAACACACCGCCGTACCGAGATAGATGGACATACAGACATACTCCGTATTCAAACTTCCCTGGTGTCTCCATGTATTTTCTATATGAAAAGACATTTTCTTATCACTGTTTTGCTGTGTCACGTGTCAGGGAATGCACCGGGTCCCATCTCCCCGAGTGGCGAATCGGGCGCAACTCGCTCTGGTTCCCTGGGGAACCTCAATACGATCTGTCCTTTGGAGGGTCCAGTTTCTCCCGACCGGGGCGATGCTTTCTACGGGCGATGCCAGCAACGCGGAGCAGTCAGCAGCATCCCGCGCCGTGCACCCCCGGGGCCAGGGCCCGCGTCCCGGCGCCGCCATGGCCACCAAGCCCCGGAGAAAGGGTGGACGGGATGATGATGATGATGATGATGCTAAAGGCGGGTAAAGCCAAGGGCGAACCACTTGGAAGACCCGCGAGGTCGTCTGCTGCACCTGCTCCTGCAGAGCCCGAGCCCGAGCCTGCAGGGGCCCCTGCAAGGGGGGGGGCACCCCCAGGGCAGAGGGAAAGGCGACGCTGTAAGGACGGCAGCCCTGCAGAGAACGGGATGGCAGAAGACACCGGGCGCAGGAAGCCGCGGTGCTGCGGGGGCCACGTGGAGAGCGTGCATTGTTGACAACTGCGTACTTCTGGTGGCTGTACAGTTTGAAATACTATTTTTTGTCAAGTTTTATAAAAATGCCAAAAAAAACCAATCTGCTTCTAGGCACACCACTTTTCATGCCTTGACAGCTGCTCACTGTGAGCCCGCTGTCTTCTTTTCCATATATATATATTTTAATTTTTTTTACTGATTTTATCACATACCACATCCATATATTGTTTTTTGTTTTCTTTTCTTTTCTTTTTTGGAGACAGAGTCTTGCAATGTTGCCCAGGCTAGAGTGAGTGCCGTGGCGGCAGCCTAGCTCACAGCAACCTCAAACTCCTGGGCTCAAGCAATCCTCCTGCCTCAGCCT